CGCCTGGATGCGACGCTGACGACCACTTGCCGGAGATGTGGGCCCACCAGGGGGGCAAGGAGGCAGTCTTCAAGGCACGGCGGGTCTGTTGCCACCACAACTCGCTCGAGGGGCAAGCCGGCGGCGCGCCGAGGGGGAAGTTTGGGAGTTTCGGGTTCGAGTTTCGCGTTCTCGCCGCTTCTCGGCGGCCTTCCAGCCTCGGGATGGGTTCTGGCGGCTGCGCCTCGCCGAGAGGCGTCCCGGGGTGCCCAGATCGTCCCCAATGGCAGCCAGAGGCCCGAGTTATGATCCGAAAGCCAGACGATGATCCTTGCGGGGGCAGGCTTTCTCAGAAGGCGGCGGCACTTTTCAGACACCCTCCATCCTCTGGAGAAGCCGCTTCTGTCTGAAGGCTCTTCGGAAAGCACGAGGCCTTCTGGGCCTTCTGAGAAGGCCCGCCCCTAGCGCGCCGCCGAAAGGACGCGGGGGTCGCGACCGAGCAAGGTTCCTGGTTGCGCATGCACAGACAGCCCCGTCCAGGTTGGCCCTGGCGTTATGCCGGGCGTGCCCCCCTACAGGGGGATTTTCGATGAAAAACAAACAATGCACGTGCATCCAGCGCGTGGCCTCCGGGCGTTCCACACGTGAATCTGGCCATGCGCGTCCCCAGCCTCTTGGTAGTCTGGGGCGGTCCCACAACCACCGCGCCGCCTCCGTTTCCGCGCCCCAGTGGCAGGGGTGGAGCGGTTCAGTGCGCAGCCCCGAGCCCTGGCGCCACCGCACCTTTCCGAGGGCGCTGGGGGGGCGTCCGACCCTGCCCTCTCCCGCCGCCAGATCTGATACATGCAGGGGAAATGTGGTTCTCGCGTTCGGGCATCCCTGTTCCCGATCAAGACTCCATCTTGCGTAATAAGCGTACGCCCAGCCCGACGGCAGATTTCGATAGGGGTTCGGGGCTCGAGGTGGATGAGGAGGAGGAGGAGGAGGAGGAGGAGGAGGAGGAGGAAAGGAGGAGGAGGAGGAGGAGGAGGAGGAGGAGGAGGCGGAGGAGTAGGAGGAGGAGGAGGAGGCGGAGGAAGAGGAGGAGGAGGAGGAGGAGGAGGAGGAGGAGGCGGAGCCCCCAGACCTCTCCTGCGGTGCGCTCCGACCAGAATCTCGAGGCGCGGCCGACCATGGCGACGAGGGACCTGTTCCTGGCCAGGGTTCGCCGTAGCCAGAGAACCTCCCTCGTTCCTCGTGTGGCGTTCCTCGTCGCGGCGCGATGCCTCGAGGTCCGATTCGCAGGTCGTCGGGCGCGCCTGGTTCACGTATCGGGGCATCACAGAGATTTCCCCCCCTCGGCCCCAGGTGCTGACTTACAACCTCTTCTGGTGGAGTCTCTTCGGCGAGAGGGACGGCGATCATGACAAGGCCGCCCATCTCATCGAAAAGGCTGCAAAGTCTAGGGCGTTTGACCTGATGGGCTTTCAGGAATGCGAGGACGTGGCGCGTGTTCTGGAACCAGCTGGCCTCAAGGATAAATATTACGTGTTCTCTGGGAGTGGCAAGACGGAGGCGATTTGCATCGCGGCAAGCAAGGCCAGTTTCGATCTCCTCTCCCATGGCATGCAAGCCGTTGGCGAGGACAGCAAGGAACAGTACTTCGGCAAACGATCTGCACAGTGGATGCGGCTCAACCACAAGAAGACGGGCCAGAAGGTGTTCTTCATGAACCACCACGGCCCATCCGCTCTCGCCCAAACTCGGCCCCGCGGGCACCTCGCCACCCCGGCCGCCATCCTGAGCAGTATCCCGGAGATCCGACGTCACGAACAAGTGGCAACATCCCTGACCTTCCAGAGTGCTAAACAATAGCACTCCAGACCTGTAGATCCATCTGGACTGCCTCAGACCTCGACAGGAATCAGGACGTCGGCGTCCTGGTGCTGTTTTTTGGCCCTCCTGGAAGGTCAGGGATCGTCAAACACAAGCGACCGGCGCCCTGGACCCCACCCTTTTTGCGGCAGCTCTCGAGCCGCATCCACCCGTGGGGCTCCGGGGGCCCGAGATCCGACGTCACGAACATGTGGCAACATCGTAAAACAAAAGCGACCGGGGCCTCCAAGAGAAGGGCTCATGTTCGGGGCAACGCCAGGAGGGGATAGGCCTGGCCAGGGGCAACGTTCGGGGTGGATAGGCGCTCTGTGTGTGAGGGGGGGGGGGCGTTCTCGGATGCGAGGCTCGAAGTTCTTGAGCGTTCTCGGCGGCTGTCCAGCCTCGGGGGGCCTTCCGTCGGCTGTGCCTCGCCGAGACCGCTCCAGGGGTGCCCAGCTCGGCGGCGAGGCGGACGCACCCGAGGCGGAAACGACGAGGCGCCAGGATCTCGGAGACGGTCTCGGACCGCGGCCCGCCGTGGCCACGAGGCCCCCCCCCCCCGCCCAGGGCGGCCAACAGGACATGCCTCGGACAAAAAACCCGGGAGCACTCCTGCCAGATCCAGCTGTCCATGCACGCCCCTCCCCCCCAGGGATCCTGACACCTCAATGGGAAGTCTCTCTCTCTCTCTCTCTCTCTCCCCCAGGGATCAAAGTTGGCGGTGGCTCTCGGATGCGTTGCGCTTCGGCCGCAGTCCTCCCCGCGCGTGCCAGCTCTGAACGGGGGGGCGGGGGACCCAGACATGCCATGCCCTGATTTTTTGAGCACGGGGTCGCTGCAGGTCCTGGCTCTTCCCTTGGGACCGGCCTTTCATCCTGCGGGCAGGTTTTGGACAGCCCCAGGGGCCAGCGAGGGCCCCACCCAGGAGGCCGACGATGGCTGAAAGCCTCCCGTCGTGAATTTTGGTGTCTGAGCCGCCTGAGGCCCCGCCCGCCCGTGCTCTGTCTCCCCAATTAGAGCTTCGCGTGGCCCGCCTAGCTCTTAACCGGAAGAGGCCCGCTCTCGACCCGCCGACCAAAAAAAAAAGTGGTTTTGGACCAAAACCACTTTTTTTTTTGGTCGAAGACCGGAGACGTCACGTCGTGTTTTTTTTGTTTCACGCCGCGAGCATGTTTTTGGAGGTGCACCGTACCTTTTCCTGTGCAAGCTCTTCGGCACCGCCTGTACCCCGCACCCTCCGGCCGCCTGAGGCCCCGCCCGCCCGCGCCCTGTCTCCCCAATTGGTGCTTCGCGCGCCCCGCCCAGCTCTTAACCGGAGGAGGCCCGCTCTCGACCCGCCGACCCCCAAAAAAGTGGTGTTGGTGGTGTCTGCTGGAGGCCGAAGATGACCGGAGACGTCACGTCGTGTTTTTTTTGTTGTTGCTTCACGCCGCGAGCATGTTTTTGGAGGTGCCCACTCCTTCCCTGACCTTCCAGGAGGACTAAAAAATAGCACCAGGACGTCGACGTCCTAATTCCTGTCGAGGCTTGAGGCAGTCCAGATAGATCTATAGATCTGGAGAGCTATTTTTTTAGCACTCTGGAAGGTCAGGGTTGCTGCCCCCCCTGCCGGAGGGGCAGCGACAGCACGCCGGGAGGGGAGAGGCGCCGGGCCCCCCGCCGGGGGGCCCGCGAGGCGGGCGACCGCGCCCCCGTGCGCCGCGGCATGGGCCAGCAGAGGGGCCGCCCTCCTCCGGGGGGCAGGGGGGGGGCGGGACCCAGGGGCAGTAGAGCGGCCGCAGCGCGGCCCTCCTCCCCAGACCGCCTCGAGTCCTCCTGCTCCTCCTCGCTCCTCGCTCCTCCTCCTCCTCCTCCTCCTGCTCCTCCTCCTCCGCCTCCGCCTCCTCCTCCTGCTCCTCCTCCCCCTCTTCCTCTTCCTCCTCCGCCTCCTCCGCCTCCTCCGCCTCCTCCTCCTCCTCCTCCTCCTCCTCCTCCTCCTCCTCGTCCTCCTCCTCCTCCTCCTCCTCCTCCTCCCCAGACCCCCTCGAGCCCCGGGGCGGGCCAGGGAGCTGCCCGTCCCCAGGTGGGGGGGGGGGGCATGGGCCCGAGGCCGGGGCGCTGCCTTCCTCTCCGCAGACCCCCTCGCCAGGCAGTCGGAGGCCAGGCTGGCAGATTGGATCCGGTCTCTGGGCTTAAGTCGGGCCTGTCCCCTTGCAGGGGGTTTTTCGACGAAAGATATTACAATACCCCCAAAATAGTCAAACAATAGTCTGGTGATTATTGTTTGAATATTTTTTGACTTTTTGTGTATTTTTGGGGCATTTTTTGTTTTTCGTCGAAAATACCTCTGTAGGGGGACACGCCCGAGATAACTCTGGGGCCCATCTTGGTACCGGTCTCCAGCGAATCCCCAGTCCGGCGCCAGCCTGGCGCAGACCAGTGTGTTTGTTTTCTTGTCCGCCAGATCGGATCAGATGGACCTCCTCGCCAGGCTGCCAGACTGGACCCGCCAGATTGGCGCCAGAGTGGCTTCGACGAGCCAGCCTGGAGTCCTGAAACAATTACGGCGGGATATTTTTTCGCCATTTCCGACATCTGGGGGCCTTTTTACGGGGCCCCGGGACCGTCAAGCATCGATTCGGGACCAACACCAGTCCCGGGGAATCGGTCGAGACCTCGGGGGGCCGACGCTGTGGAAAAACTATGAAGTCGGGGGTCTGGGCCCCTTGGCATCCAGTCGGTATAGTTTTCATAGCGGGCGATTTTGCGCCGTTTCGGATCCTCTATTGCTCGTCGCCCGGAGGAGGAGGAGGACGAGGTGGACGAGGTGTTGGATCAGGAGAAGGTGGAGGACGAGAGGAGGACGAGGAGGCGGAGGCGGAGGAGGAGGAGCAGAAGGAGGAGGAGGAGGAGGAGGAGGAGGAGGAGGAGGAGGAGGAGGCGGAGGCGGAGGCGGAGGTGGAGGAGGAGGAGGAGGCGGCGGCGGAGGCGGAGGAGGCGGAGGAGGAGAAGGAGGAGGAGCGATGAGCGAGGAGGAAAGGGAGGAGGAGGAGGAGGAGGAGGAGGAGGAGGAGGAGCCAGACGGCTCTTCGTGTCAGGCCCTCTGCCCGTGGACTCCGGCGGCAAGTGCGGCGGGCGGGCCACGGCCCGCGCGCTGCTGCAGCTGACCTCCGCGGAGGCCGAGCGAGGCGAGGGGCGGCGCGTTCGACAGCCGGCCGCCCGCCCGTGCTAAGGGGCCACATGCGAACCTTACCCCCTACCACGATTTCTGAGGGGGGTAGGGGGTAGAGTTCGCATGTGGCCCCCTGCATGCGCCCTCGCGCCTGGAAAGCGTACGGCGCGAGGCTTTCGTCTGCCTTATTCGGCCTCCAGTCATCGAGAAGAGAAACGAGCCCGTGACCCTCATAACACGATGAAGACGTGGTCTCACTTGGGTCTCCGTCTTCGCACTTGTGGGCGGTCTGGTCCGAGAGACACCTGCAGCAAAGGCCCCCGTACCCCTACATGTTTTTGGCCCTCCCATCTTCGGTCCTCTCTCAGAGGGTTCGGGGCACCTTTGTTCTCATCATGCAGGGGCCCCCTCGGGGCCTCGGGGCCGTGAGCAGAGAGGAGGGAGGAGGGAGGAGGGAGGAGGGAGGAGGGAGGAGGAGGAGGGAGGGGGGAGGGGGAGGGAGGAGGAGGAGGAGGAGGAGGAGGGGGGGAGGAGGAGGAGGAGGAGGAGGAGGAGGAGGAGGAGGAGGAGGAGGAGGAGGAGGAGAGGGGAGGAGGAGGAGGAGGAGGAGGAGGAGGAGGAGGAAGAGGAGGAGGAGGAGGAGGAGGAGGAGGAGGAGGAGAGGAGGAGGAGGGAGGAGGAGGAGGGAGGAGGGGAGCTGGCGGCACGGGGGCGAGCAGGCACGCAGCGTCGGTGGCCTCGGCACGGCAGGTGCACGCCGTGCCCAGACCGCGGCAGCCTCCTCCTCCTCCTCCTCCTCCTCCTCCTCCTCCTCCTCCTCCTCCTCCTCCTCCTCCTCCTCCTCCTCCTCCTCCTCCTCCTCCTCCCCCTCCTCTGCGGACTTTCGATGTTCGGGGCCCCCCAAGCGGGGTGGTGGCCACACCATGCGGCGAGTCGGTGGGGATTCGGGGTCACCGCACGGTTTCGGGACGCGGGTCGTTCTCCGAAGACGTCTCGGGCGACAGGGGCCTCCGGGGTCCCAGGACCGTGCGGTGACGGACCGTGCGGTGAGGTTTTGTGGGATTTCGAGGTCACCGCACGGTCTGTCACCGCACCGTTTCGGGACTCCAAAGATGTGCAAGGTAACGGGTGGCCCTGGAATCGGCCAAAGTGGGACGGCCTGGCGATCGAGAAGCCGCCGATCGTTCGAGGTTGAGCGATCCTCGCGGGGTCGTCACGACACGAATCTGCCGTTGTGACTCTCGGCGCATCCCGCCACCGTCCCTGGGGGTCACTTGGGATGCCTCTCGGTTTGTTCTGTTCGGAGGACTCTTGAGGGCGCCTTGGGGGCCTCTTGGGAGTCTCTCGGGGCCTCCTGTGGGCCTCTGGAGCCTCGTCGGGGTCTCCTGGGTCTTCCTCGGGGCCTTCTGGGGGGCCTGCTGGCGGTCTCGGGGGGATGTCAGTTCTCGTTCCCATTCTTGGGTCCCTTTTGGGCCATCTTGAGGGCATGTTGGGCAGTCTTTGGGGCCTCTGGGGCCGTCTTGGGGCTCTCTTTGGGTCCCCTTGGGCCGTCTCGGGGCGATCGTGGTGTCCTCCTGGGCCGTCCTGGAGCGTTGGAACATCGAAATGGCGAGAACGCTGAAAGTCCTTCAAACAACTTAGGAAGAATATGGATGTTGGCTCTGTGGGCTCTCTTGGGGGTTCTCTTGGGCTCCGCTTGGGCCGTCTTGGGAGCCCCTTGGGCCATTTGGAGGCCGTCTTTGAGCGTCTTGGAGCGCTCTTCGTCCGTCTCGAGGTCCTCTTTGACCGTCTTGGTGGCCTCTTGGGGCCCTCTCGGCACGTCGTGGGGTCGTGTGCCCTCAGGGAAAAAGTCTTTCGATACCACGCGGGGAGCCCACAGAAATCTGGGAATTGGCGCCCCTGCGCTCGAATGGACCTTACAGTGCCGTTTTTAATACACGCTCCGCTTGCGGATCATGTATTAAAAATACATGGCTTAGTATTAAAAGCAACGATGAGTTCACGCATCAATTTATTCATAAATTAATCATGTATTAAACATCGTATAGTTTAAAATCCACTGTATTAAAAACTGCCCTGTAGGTAAAAAAGAGCGCGCCCGTGGCACCCTTCCGATCAAGGGGGGGGGGGCCCAGCTTCAAGTTCACCCCCCCCCTTCCTTGGACAAGGCCCTTTTTCAAGGAAGGGGGGGGGGGGACAAGCAAAAGGGAGGGAGGGAGGGAGGGGAGGGCCTTACGAAGCTACCCCCCCCTCCCTCCCTTCTGCTTGTATTTTTTCAGCTGGGGGGTGCCCCAGCTAAAGGGGGGGGGGCCTGGACGCCATCCCCCCCCACCCTCCCCCCCGTTTCGGGGTATGGGGTCCGCCCGGGCTCCCCTCTCAAAGGCGGCAGGGGGGGCTCCCGAAGCTACCATCCCCCCTTCCCTTCTGTTTGGATTTTGTGGCTGGTGGAGGGGGCTTTGAAGCTACCCCCCCTTTCCTTTTCGGGGCCGAGGGTAAGCCCGGGCTCCCCTTTCCAGAATTGGGGGGGGGGGGCTTCCGAAGCTACCCCCCCTCCCCTTCTGTTGGTTTTTCTGCTGGAAGGCCCTGGCTGAAGAGGCTACTTTGCTTCGTTGGCTTTCGGCGCCCCGTTGGTTTGCGGCGTACTTGTGGTTTTTCGACGTCTCTTTTGGTTTTCGGCGCTTCTTTGGTTTTCGGCACCCTTTGGGCCTTTTGCGCTTCCTTGATTTTCAACGCTCTTTGGGTATTCGGCGCTCCTTTGGTTTTCGGCGCTCGTGTGGTTTTCGGCACCCCTTTGGTTTTCGACACCCTTTTTGGTTGTCATGTGGCTTTCGGCGCGTCGTCGGTTTTCGGCGCCCTCGTGGGTTCCGGCGCCGCTGTGGTTTTCGACGGCCTCTTGGTGTTCTGCGCCCCCTTTGTTTTCGGCGCCCCTTTAGTTTTCGGCGCCGTTTTGGCTTTCGGCACTCTTTGGTTTTCGGCGCCCCTTTGATTTTGGCGCCCTTTGTTTCTCGACCCTCTCGTGGTTATCGGCGCGTCTTTGATTTTGTCGGCGCCTTTTTGGCTTTCGGCACATCGTTGGTTTTCGGCGCCCCTGTGGTGTTCGGCGCCCGTGTGGTTTTCGGCGCCCCGTTGGTTTTCGGCGTTTATGCGGTTATAGCGCCCCATTAGTTTTCGGCACCCTTTTTGTTTTCGGCGCCCTGTCCGTCTTTGGAGCTTCTGTTCTTTCGTTCTCGGCGCCCTTGTGGTTATCGGCGCCATGTTGTTTTTTTCGGTGCCCTTCAGATTTTCGGCGCAATTTTGGTTTTCGGCGCCCCTTTAGTTTTCGACGTCTCTTGTGGTTTTCGGCGCCACTTGGGTGTTCGGCGCCCCTTTGGTTTTCGGCGCCATCTTGGTTTTTAGTGCCCTTTTGGTTTTCGGTGTTCTTTTGGTTTTCGGTGTCTTTTTGACTTCCGGCGCATCTTTGGATTTCGGCGCACCTTTCTGTGTTCGGCGCTTTTTCGGTTTTCTGCGCCCCCTTGGTTTGGTTTTGGGCGCTCCTTTGGTTTTCGGCGCCCTTTAGGTTTTCGGCGCCCTTTGGTTTTCGGCGCTCCTTTGGTTTTTCGGCGCCGTTTTGGTCTTCGGTGCCCTTTTGGTTTTCGGCGTTCCTTTTGTTTTCGACACTGCTTTGGTTTTCGCTGCCCTTGTGGTGTTCGGCGACGCTTTGGTCTTTGGCGTCCTTTTGGGTTTCGATGCTCTTTGGTTTTCGGCGTCCGTTTGATGTTCGGCGCTGCTCTGGTTTTCGGCGCTCTTCTGGTTTTCGGCATATCTGTGGTTTTTCGGTACCCCGCTGGATTTCTGAGTTTTTTGGGTCTTGGCGCCTCTTTGGTTTTCGGCGTTCGTTGGGTGTTCGGCGCCTTTGGTTGTCGGCGCCCCTTTGCTGTTCTGCGCCCTTTTGTTTTTCGACGCTCCTCTGGTTTTCGGCCCCCTTTCGGTTGTCGACGCGCTTTTGGTTTTCGGCGCTCCTTTGGGTTTCGGTGCTCCTTTGGTTTTCGGCGCAGCGCCCTTTGGTTTTCGCCCCTTTCGGTTTTCGGTGACTCTTTGGTTTTCAGCGCTCTGTTGGTTTCGGCGCTCCTGTGGTCTTCGGCGTTCCTGCCTTTCGCCAAAGGTGGAGGGGTTTCCAAGCTCCCCCCCCCTTTAGCCCAAAAGGGGGTGGATGGGAGGTGGGGGCTCCCGGCAGGGGGGGTTCCAAGAGGAGGGGGGGTAGCTAAGCCCCCCCTTTGGAAAGGGAGGGGGGGGGGTAGCTTCCGGAGCGCGAAGGGGGGGGGGGTGGGGGGGGGTAGCTTTCGTGGGGCGGGAAAAAAGGGAGGGACGGGGGGGCTTCCGGCAGTGGAAGTTCAAGGGGGCGAGGGGGTAGTTTCCGAGAGGCGGAACAACAAGGATTGGGGGGGGGGGGGCGCGTTCCGGCAGGGCAGGTCCAGGGGGGGGGGTTAGCTCAGGGGGGACCCCCCTTTTTGGGAGTGTAGCACCAGCGCGCTCTCTCATAGGTAAGTAGAGCTGGCTCGACCTAGATTCCGGCGGCCGGCCAAGCGATTACAGCCGCGGGCAGCCGCATAGGAAGTATTACAAAAAAGATAGAATTTCTCTGAATCTCAGAGCATAAATTACTTACCCCGCTTCCGCTTCCAGGCCAAACCGAGTCATACCACGCGCCTCCTCGTCAAGCGGCCTGACCAGTGCAGGCCGTAGTTTGGCATCGCTTTGTATCTCTTGGACGCGAGGGTGGTCACAAGCGAGGTGGGTTTTGCGTGCCCCGTACAGTCGGGGCTCTGAAGAAGGAACCCTTTTCGTTGGGGAGGGGCTCCGCGTTCCTTAAGTGTTTCACAGCTTGCCTCAGGTTTGCCTTATGTTTCCGATCGAAAATCGAAGTTTAACTCATGGAAGAAAGGGGCCTCGTTCCTTATCTAGGGTTCCTTAGGTCAACGCCCCGATTGTAAGCCGTTTCGGCGCGAGCTGGTTTGCTTGGGCTGGACTCAGCTCGCG